AAAATTATAGCTCTGTAGACATAAAATGTAAAATTTACAGGCTAGTGTGTGATATTTCTAGCATATTACAGAACTTAAAACAGTCCTTTGTTGTTTTATTTTTTTCTTTTGATTTTTCTCTTTCACCTGTAACCCAAGTGCAGGAAAATGAGTGTAGTTAATTAAAATTCTTGAGAGTTGGATTCTAGTTTAACAAAAATTTGACCCTTTTTAGAAATGTGGCAATGTAATATATAATGGAAGTTCTAGATTTGTGGATTAGGTATCTGAGATTTAGGTGAGACACTGCCACTGATTTCTAAAGGAATTTTGTACTAAGTATTTAACTAGTCTAGGTCTCATTTTGCTTACCAATAATTGGATAGATTGGACTACATGTGTTACAGAGCATATGTAGGAGTCTCTAACATTTCAAAAATAATCCAGGTGATAAACTCAAATGTTGATGAAACTAGGCAGATACTTGTAAATGAGTGAATGAGCACTGGTTGTGCCCAAATGGAGAGTGTGTGCCAGCTGTTACCATGTGGCAAATGGATCTAGATTTGCTGCTATTCAGTCCAGCTTTTCCTCATATTTATGTAAATACACATGTATGTATTTATGTAAATGTGGGTATTCAAATAAATATTTTCTCAAATGTGTATAAATAATTCAAATGTTGTTAAATCATCGAATGGGAAAAACAAAATGAATTTGGGTCATATGTATGGAACTTAAGGTGGTTAGTGGTTAAAGCATTTCTCTGCTAACCTAAAGGTCAGTAGTTTGAATGACCCAACCACTCCCTGGGAGAAAGATGAAGCAATCTACTTCCTTAAAGATTTAAAGCCTTGGAAACCCTATGGGGCTATTCTGCTCTGCCCTAGAGGATCACTATCAGGATTTACTCAGTTGTAGTGGGTTTGGTTTTTTTGCATCTGGAACTTAGGTTGTCATTTGTTTATTCATTTAATCATTCAAAAAAGAAAAAAAAAATCTACTTGGTGCCAGACATTGTTCTACTCTTGTTGTATATTGTTGCCTGGACATTGTTGTAGGCAATGGAAATAGACTGGATTTAATGTCCTTGGTCTAATGCAACTTAGATTCTAATATTTCAGTGATCAATACAGGGAACAGACAAGCCAGTATAATTCCAGATCATGATATGTGTTATGAAGAAAATCTGGGCAGGATGAAATAGTAGAAAAAGTAGGGTTTAGATCCTGTGGTTTTGCTAAAGAGGTGATAAAATAAACAGAAATACAAATGGTGAGATTTAGTAATCTAAATGTTGATGATGTGGGAAGAGAACATTCCAGGCAGAGGAAATAACAAGTATAAAAGCCCTGTAGAGGAGTTAGGCTCGTCACATGGTCCCAAATATAAAACTACATGCAATTATAAAGAGCTTAAAGTTTGTTATGGGTAATGTAAAGCCAATTGTTGTTTTGTGTCGAGTCAGACCCAACTCGTAGCGACCCCTCCTTGGGTTTCTGAGGCTATATCACTATGAAAGTAGTTTGCCCAACCTTCCTTCTGAGGAGTGGCTGGTGGGTTTGAACCACCAGCCTTCTGGTTAGCAGTCAAGTGCCTTAGGCACTATGGTACCAGAAAGCTAGTGGGTGGGGTTAAATACAAGACTGAAGTGATGTGATTTAGACTGTAGAGGTCACAGTATAAGGAAGACCAAGGAAAATGCTGCTGTAGACTCTGAAGGCTTGGACCTATTGGTGGTAACTCTGGTTGTGGTGAGAGATGGAATACTTCTGCTTTTAAACCTTTGCTTTAAAAAATCCTGGAAGTAATACCCACATTTTTTTTTTCCCCTATTGGTTTCTCCCTTTTTTAAAATTAATTTTTATTGTAGTTTTGGTGAAAGTTCATTTTGTATACAGTAGTTCATACACATTTTGTTTCATGACATTGACTGCAATTCCCCACAATGTAACAGCTCTCTTCCCACTTCCTCCCAATAGTTACACCTCTTCCCTGTGTCCTTCTTTCTTGTGCATTCCTGCCCCCAAGCTATCTCCCTGTGCAAATACTGCCCTTCTGTTTTCCCAAGATTGATCACTCTAAAGATTGTATCTACCTGATGTCATTGTTCACCCCATATGCCCTATTCGTTTCTCTTGATCTTAATTATGTAAGTATTCATTGTATGACTGAGTCAGGATTTCTCTGACATTGGTTTTCAAAGTGGAAAGCATGAGTCTCCATTTCTGGTCCTTTGAACTTTTTATTTAGTGTAGTGTACTTTTTGTTTCATTTTTAAAACAACACTGAGCCTTAAAGTTGTACTCATCCTTTCAATTTCTGGGTCCTGTAGTGGTAGAAATTAGATCATATCTATAGCAAAATAAAAATGGTGACTTTGTTCTTTCTAAATTAAACAAGAGGCTGTTTTCTGAAAAAACAAAAAATGTATTTTGAATTGAAGAACATAAAAATTTGTTTATATTTAGAATTGGGAAATGAAAGAGTAAAGAAAAGAATAGTGTAAAGTTTGTGTGGGATAAATTCTCACAAGTCTTTGTTTTCCCTTCCTTGTTTCCCATCTTTATGCCTACAGTGCATTATCATAATCAAATGTAGTCTCATTTGCATTTTTTAATGCTGGTTACTTTTGAGATCTTATTATTTTTTTAGCTTAAATTTCCTTCAAGCATTTTCTTCAGGTACAGATAGTGAATGCATCTTATGTTCGTTATTAATGTTATGTAAAGTATTGGTGTAGAGAAATACGGAATCTGGTTTTCCTTTTAACACCTTCATAATTATGCTTTTGAAATGATTTTTTGAAAAACAAGACCTGAATAACAAAGCAACAAAGTAGCTTAGGACTAAAGACAGGATTACTTTGAATTGGCAAAGCATTTTAAGCATCTGTGTCTGTCACATGGGATGACAAGAATTGTAACAAGTTACTCTGACAACCACCTACTCCATACAGAGATTATGCTGAGTTCATTTGCAGGTTTGTGTTTAGCCTTAGCTGACAAAATGATACTTAACCTCTTATGCAGTCAGCCTTTGTAGTTTCTGAATGAGTGACTGTTGCTTTAACAGTGACCTTAAAAATTTGATTTTTTTTCAGTTGTGAATTTAAATTTTTTTAAAAGTATAAGCAAATAGGACTTCTGGGTACAAGGCATATTATGTGAAACTGGATTATATATGTGATTTATAAGCATGTATGACATTCTTTTGAGATCTTCCTTGTTTTGAAGGTTTTACCCAAAACTTTACTTTCCATACTGTATCTCAAAACTCAGTCAATCAAGAATGCAGTGTTTTCTAAAAGAGCAAAGTTTTTATCATTGCTTTTAAAAATCCAAATGTGTATCTTTAAATTAATGTTTTATAGCTTTACTCTGCTTTTTCATTTAAGTTTTTCCTAATATTGCAAACCATTTTCTTAAGTCTCTAAGTTATTTCAGTGAGTATTTCTTGAATTATTTTGCATAGAATTTATTTTTATTAAAATGCTTTTTTCTGTTTTAGTTGGAGGAAGGTGTAAAAAAATTCTAGAATGCTTACTTACTTGAGACTTTGTTCCTCACTAGATCCTGGCATACACAGAAGGGTTGCATGGAAAATGGCTATTCACAGAGATAAGATCAATCTTTTCTCGTCGTTATCTTTTGCAAAATACAGCCCTGGAGATCTTTATGGCGAACAGAGGTAATACACTGTAGATAGTACCTTGTTACAGAGCTAACTTCCATCTCTTTAAGATTTCATTTTGGAACAAACCATGTTGTTTCCGTTTAAATAGTATTTTGTTGTAAAAAATATACCCTCTACCTTACTGACCTCTTTTTTGTGTGTGCCACATGCGTCTTCATGGAATTTTTTTCCTTGGTAATTCTTAGACTCATTTGTTAGACTCATTCTTAGACTCTCTTCTTTTTATAACTTGACCAAAGGCTTTAAAAATATGAGGGATAAACAACTACTTAATCAAATGTGTAGTGTTTATGCCCTCATTATTGCTTTGATGCTTAAACTCCTTTTGAAAGTTAGTTAGTTAGATTTGAGAAGGGAACAAGAGAATCAAATGATTGATGCATTTCTTTAATCTTTTGTCTAATCATTGCATTTTATAAAGGCACCAACAGAAGATGGTGCTGAACTGCCCTAGTTGCTTGGTGTTACACACTTCTGAAAGGGAGACTAAAATTCACTTAGTAGGTTTAGAAAGGAGCTTGGTCAAATTCATTAAGACATGGAGGGGAAATAAGATGTATTTGAAAGAAAAGCACTGTTTTGTATGAGTGGACACCTAGAAGGGAAAATATATAAAATCTGGGGACTTAATGTACATCTTGGCTATAAGTAGGTTGATAATTTCTTATTTGTTCTTTTTATAATCCACAAACTAGTAATTTTAAAATCTACAAATAAAAACATGTATTCCATGCATGATTTTTTCTTATCCTTTATGAAATCATGTGTCTTTAGGGAATACAAATTTCTTTGGGGAAAAATGTTTTTCCCTTTTCTTTTTAGTCTACTTCCCTACCCAAATGTCTTTTTCCTAATGTAAACATAATTCTTCCAAGAAAATAATCAAGTGAATGTTTCACACTCTAGTTCAGTCTGCATTCTTACTGTCCCAAAGGAGTTTCAACCTTATAATATTTATTACTTACTCATCCTCATTCTTTATCCTTTTTTGACATTTCTTATGCATCTTTGCTTTGTATGTGTAGTTTTCTCTTGCCTGTCTCTCATGGCTTTTAGTCATCTGCCACCATACCTGTGAAAGGTTTTTTGTTTTTGTTTTTTCCTTTTCCTGTACTCAGTGTAATAATAGAAGGCTTATTAAAAAGGTGACATATGTATATGTCAATTCTAAATACATCATAGGTACTAAAAGCATAATTAATTGCTTTTTAACCTAGAACATGTTGGTAATACCAATATTAATAAAACTATACCAAAATTGGTAATTTTTGGGGGGGTTGACCTTAAACTTTTTTTTTGTTAAGGTAGAGAGGAAGGATCTCTTCCAAAGAGCATTCATAGCTTACATAATGTTCTGAAATTGAAAATGAAAGGTAATTAAAATTCCAGTACTGACCAAATTAATATCTAACGATATTAATGACTTTCTACCACTCACCTGTCAGTTTGTCATACTGTGGTGGCCTGCATGTTGCTGTGAGGCTGGAGGCTATGCCATCAATATTTCAAATCCTAACAGGGTCACCCATGGTGGACAGAGTTCAGCGGAGCTTCCAGACTAAGACAGGCTCAGAAGAAGAATGGAGCCACCCATTTCTCAAAAAATTTGGCCAGTGAAAACCTTACAAATATCAGTGACACACTGTCTGATATACTACTGGAAAACTTTATGAATAGCCCTGAAACATTGTCATCTGCCAGAAGATGAGCCCCTTGGGTTGGATTGTTGTTGTTGTTATGTGCCATCAAGTCAGATCCGACTCATAGTGACCCCTCCTTGGTTTTCCGAGGCAGTATCACTACAGAAGTAGATTGCCCAACCTTCCTTCTGAGGAGTGACTGGTGAGTTTGAACCACCATCCTTCTGGTTAACAGTCAAGTGCCTTAAGCACTATGCTACCAGAGCTCTCAAAATACAACTAGGAGAGAGTTGCCTCCCTGAAGTAGAGTCCTCCTCAATGACATGGCTGCAGTAAAGCTTTTGGGACCTCTATTTGCTAACAGGGCATGACTCAAAATGGGAAGAAACAGCTAGAAACATTTATTAATAATCAAAACATTGAATGTATGAAGTATGAATGTGGGAAAATTAGAAGTTGTCTAAAATGAAATGGAGCTCATAAAGATCAATATCCTAGGCATAGGTGAGCTGAAATGGTCTGGTTTGGGCCATTTGGAATCAGATAGTCATATGATCTACTATGCCAGGAATGACAAATTGAAGACGAATGGCATGACATTCATAGTCATAAACAATGTTTCAAGATCTATTGTGAAGTACAGTGCTGTCAGGTATAGGATAATGTCCATACGCCTACAAGGAAGAAAAGTTCATACTACTATTACTCAAAGTTACGTGCCAACCACTAAAGCCAAAGATGAGGAAATTGAAGATTTTTACCAGCTTCTGCAGTCTCAGATTGACCAAGCGTGCAAATAAGATGTGTTGATTATTACTTGTGATTGGGATTCAAAAATTGGAAACAAAGAGGAATCGCCATTAGTTGGAAAACACGACCTTGGTGATAGAAATGATGCAGGAGATTGCATGATAGAATTGTGTAAGACCAATGACTTACTAGTTGCAAATACCTCTTTCAACAGCATAAATGGCAGCTATACATGTGGACCTCACATAATGGAATACACAGGGATCAGATCACCTATACTGTAGAAAGAGGCGATGGAGAAGCTCAATATCATCAGTCAAAATAAGGCCAGGATCTGACTGTGGAACAGATGATCAATTGCTCATATTCAAGTTCAAATTGAAGTTAAAGAAAATTAAAACAAGTCCACAAGAGCCAAAATGCAACCTTGATTATTTCCCACCTGAATTTAGAGACCAGCTGAAGAATAAATGTGACACATTGAACATCAGTGACTGAAGACCAGATGAATTGTGAGATGACATCAAGAACATCATCCACGAGGAAAGCAAACGGTCATTAAAAAGACAAAGGAAGAAAAGACCAAAATGGATGTCAGAAAAGACTCTGAAACTTTTTCTTGAACGTAGAGCAGCTAAAGCAAATGGAAGAAATGCTGAAAGTAAAAGAACTAAACAGAAGATTTCAAAAGGCAGTTCAAGAAAGCAAAATAAAGTATTAGAATGAAGTGTATAGAGACCTGGAATTTAGAAAACCCAAAGGGAAGAACATGCTCAGCATTTCTCAAGCTGAAAGAATTGAAGAAAAAATTCAAATCTTGGGTTACAATATTGAAGGATTCTATGAGCAAAATACTGAACTATTCAAGAAGCATCAAAAGAAGATGGAAGGAATACACAGTCATTGTGCCAAAAAATTGGTTGATGTTCAGTCGTTTCAAGAGGTAGCATATGATCAAGAACCAATGGTATTGAAGTAAGAAGACCAAGCTGCACTGAAGGAAATGGTGAAAAACAAGGCTCCAAGAACTGACAGAATACCCATTGAAATGTTTCAACAATTAGATACAATTCTGGAGGCACTGACTTTTTTATGCCAAGAAATTTGGAAGACAGCCTGGAAGAGATCAATATTTGTGCCCATTCCAAAGAAAGATGATCCAGTAGAATGTGAAAATTATCGAACAATATCATATGCAAGTAATATTTTGCTGAAGGTAATTAAAAAATGGTTAGAGCATTCTATTGGATGGGAACTTCGAGAAATGCAAGCTGGATTCAGAAGAGGAGTGGAACGAGGGATATCATCGCTGATGTCAGATGGATCTTGGCTGAAAGTAAAGAATGCCAGAACGATGTCTATGTATGCTTTATTGACTATGTAAAGGCAGTTGACTGTGTGGATCATAACAAATTGTGGATAACATTGCAAAGAATGGGAATTCCAGAACACTTGATTGTGCTCGTGAGGAACCTGCACATAAAACAATAGGTTTTAGTTCAAACAGAATAAGGAGATTCTGAATGGTTTAACATCAGAAAAGGCATGCATCAGGGTTGTATCCTTTCACCATACTTGTTGTTGTTGTTGTTATGTGCCGTTGAGTCGGCCCCGACTCATAGCGACCCCTCCTTGGGTTTCCGAGGCAGTATCACTACGGAAGTAGGATTGCCCAACCTTCTTTCCGAGGAGTGGCTGGTGAGTTTGAACCACCAGCCTTCAGGTTAGCAGTCAAGTGCTTTAGCCACTATGCTACCAGAGCTCCTTATAATACTTATTATGCTGAGCAAATAATCCAACAAGCTGGACTACATGAAAAATAATGTGGCATCAGGATTGGAGGAAGACTCATTAACGACCTATGATATGCAGATGACACAACCTTGCTTGCTAAGAGTGATGATGATTTAAAATATTTGCTGATGAAGAAAAAAGACTATAGTGTTCAGTACAGATACCGAACAACGCTCACTGCCGTCGAGTCGGATCTGACTTGTAGCGACCCCTCCTTGGATTTCCGAGGCAGTATCACTACAGAAGTAGATTGCCCAGTCTTTCTTCCAAGAAGTGGCTGGTGGGTTTGAACCTCCAGCCTTCTGGTTAGCAGTCAAATGCCTTAGGCACTATGCCCACTATGCCACTAGTATGGATTATACCTAAAAATGAAAATCCTCGTTACTGGTCCAATAAGCAGCATCATGATAAATGCAGAAAAGATTGAAGTTGTCAGGGATTTCATTTTACTGGAATCCACCAATCAACACAACTGGAAGCAGCAGTCAGGAAATCAGACATCTTATTGCACTGGGAAAATCTGCTGTAAAAGACCTTTTTAAAGTGTTAAGAAGCAAAGATGTCACTTTGAAGACCAAGGTGTGCCTAACATAAGCCATGTATATTTTCATTTGCCTCATATACTTGTGAAAGCTGGACAGTGAATAAGGAAGACCCAAGAAGAGTTGATGCCTTTGAATTGTGGTGTGGGTGAAGAATACTGAAAATACTCTAGAATTCCAAAAGAGCTAACAAATCTGTCCTGGAAGATGTGCAACTGGAATGCTCCTTGGAAGAGAGAATGGCCAGACTTCATCTTACCCACTTTGGTCACGTTGTCAGAAGGGATCATTCCCTGGAGAAGGATATCATATTTGGTAAAGTAGAAAATCAGAGAAGAAGAGGAAGACCCTCAATGGGATGGATTGACCCAGTGGTTCCAATGATTGGCTCAAATATAGCAAGTATTGTAAGAATGGCATAGGCATGGGCAGTGTTTCTCTTGTACTGAGGAATGCTGTGGTAGTTATGGTTGTATGTCAACTTGGCTGGATCTGGTTGAGTAGCTGGGCAGCTGAATATAGTTATTTCCCATGGTGAGATTGGCAACCAATTCCATGGTGGAATCTACTGGAGTAGTTGAGTGACTGTTATAGGGATGTGGTCTGCTTCCAGTATATAAGAAACAACTCTGAGGAAGGTCTCCAGCTTTTTGGCATGCTTGGACTCTGCACATAGCTGAGTTTTCATTCAGCAGCCTGCCATGCTCTGCCAATCTTGGGACTTTTAATGGACTTGAGTCAATGGCCTGCCCTGTGGTTTGATAATATTGGGACTGTGCCTTTTCACTTGCCAACCTTAAGTTTGTCAGCCTCAGCAGCCAGCAGCTGCCTGAGTGGAGAGATGCCCCTAGGTTCAGTGGGCTGGGAACAAGAGGCAGAGTGAAACCTAAGGTCGAGGGGCTTTCATCTAGCCCCTAGAACCTGGCACTTTGAACTTGGACTTCAAGCTTCTAGAATTTTAAGAGAATAAATCCCTGTTTGTTTGAGCCATACTATTTGTGGTATATTCTTGTCAGAGTGGCGCTAGGTAACCACCAAAACACATGCTCTGAGTTGGAGCTGACTCAGTGGCACCTAACAGCATGTTGTGTTGTTGTTGTTGTTATTGTTATGTGCCCTCGAGTGGGACCCGACTCATAGCGACCCCTCCTTGGGTTTCTGAAGCAGTAGCACTACAGAAGTAGATTGGCCCATCTTCCTTGCGAGGAGTTGCTGGTGGGTTTGAACTGCCAGCTCTCTGGTTAGTAGTCCAGTGCCTTAGGCACTATGCTACCAGAGCTCCCTAACAACATAACAAGTGCATTTATTAAAATATTCTTTTTACAATGTTTGTTTGCACTTAACAACATAGTAAGTGCAAACAAACATTGTAAAAAGAATATTTTAATAACTGTTTACCACTGAACAGCTATCTTTGAGGATTTTTTTGATGTTAGATTATTGACTTTAATTTTTTAAAAGTTCTCTGTGGTAATTCATAGAAATATATTTGACTTGCCAAAATTGAGTTTCTGTAAGGTTTGTAGGCAAATAATCTCAGTTTCATGTCATATTAATGCAACAACAGTTGTTAGAAATCCTGAAAGTATTTTTAGAGAAAGAACTATTTATGATAAAGGAGATTGTAATTGATATTTTAATACTAAAACTTTATATACAACGTAATAAAAGGAATATAATGAGAATTGGAATAAATAGATACTCAAATTAAGAGTAAGTATGTTATTGAACCAAGAAGTCAGTTTCAAGAAAGGAAATCAAATCATGTTCTTTTTTTTTTAAATTATTTTTTGTAGTTGCTGTAATGTTCAACTTCCCAGACCCTGCAACAGTAAAGAAAGTGGTAAATTATCTTCCTCGTGTTGGTATTGGAACCAGTTTTGGATTGCCTCAAACCAGGTACTATATTATATGGAAAAAATATAGAAAATAATCTGTATTAATATTTGTTCTTGTAATTTGATTTGAAATGCATCATTTGCTTTTATTATGTGTTTCAAAGTAAGTGATTATTATTAGTGTATTAAGTTTTATTTTGATTGACTGAATTGTAATATCTTCAGTTTTTCCTACCACATACACAGTGTCCAGCACAGACTGTATACTCACTAAGTAATCATTAAATGAGATTCCCTGATCGTTCCCATTGTCAAGATAGAGGTACTTTAAAAGATGTATTTTTGATTCCTTTGATGAAAAATTTAAATTTTTATGTTTCAGGAAAGGTATATGTAGAGAAATTTATTATGTTGTTTTGATTAGGAACTCTGGTGGCAGAATGCTTAGGGCATTTGACTGCTAATCAGAATGCTGGCAGTTCAAATCTACCAGCCACTCCTTGAGAGGAAGATTGGGCAATCTCATTCCGTAGAGATACCTCGGAAACCCAAGGAGGGGTCGCTGTGAGTCGGATCCGACTCGACAGCAGTGAGTTTGGTTTTGTTTGGTTTGTTTTGATTAGATAGATAGATAGACCTTTTACTTAGTTTGTAAAAGGTTTGTTTATGCTGTTGATATTTGGCATTAAGAAATACATGTATTTTACAGTATACCTCTACATTGTCATCACATATGTTCAAAATGAAAAGAAGAGAAAAGTACAGTATCAGATGTGAATGAAGTTGAAATCTCATATCCTGCTGATGGGGACATAAATTGTACAATAACTTTGGAAAACTTGCATGCCTTATGATTCTTCAATTTTATTCCTGGGAATAGGGCTAACAGAAATGCATACATATGTTCACCAAAAGACATGTATCAGGATGTTCCTATTAACATTATTCATGATACCCTCAAACTGGAAAGTCATTCAGAAGAATAGATAAATAAATAACAATATGATCATATAATGGCATAGACAACAATGAAAATAAATGAACTGTTGCAGTATACAGCAACATGGATAAATGAAGTGAAAGAAGCCAGGCACGAATGATTTTGTTTACATTGACATTCACCCACAGGTGAAAGTAATTCCTGGTGTTAGATATGAAGATATGAAGATACCCAGCTAAGCTACCTTTAGTGAATTGTAGTTTTTCAGTGAGGCATGGGATGGCTTCTAGGATGCTGCTAATTATGTGTTTCTTAACTGAGATGATGGTTACTTAGGTGTATTTATTTCCAAAAAGTGTATTCTGCTGAAATCACTCATTTATACAACTTTTATACTGCAATAAATTTTAGAAACATTATTCCACTACATAGAAATATCCATTGTTATTTCTCATTTCAGAAACATTAGCATATTTTTTTAAAAACTAATTTTTTCATTGTAATTTGGAGGAAAGCTTACAGAGGAAATTGCTTTTCCAGTCAACATTTTGTTTTGTGAAATTGATTACAAGCCCCACAATGTAAGAGCACTCTTCCCTCTCCCTCCCTGTGGTTATCATTTCCCATTGTCCTTCTTTCCTATCTATTCCTGCCTTCTCAGCTTTATCCCTGGGCTAATGCTGCCTGTTTGGTCTCTTATATTGGATTGTTCTAAGGAGTGCATATCTCTCTAGTGTTATTGCTTACCTCATAGTTCTATTTTTTGGCTGAAAGTTGAGTCATGGGGGTGAGTTCAGTTCTGGGCCTACAGTGTGACTAAAGGCCATTGTCTTTGGGTTCCATCAGTCTCTATCAGACTGGTAAGCCTGATTTTTTAAATTATTTTCAGATCTGTTCCATTTTTTTTCCTCCCACCCTATCCAGTGTTTCTTATTATGAGCCTTTTCAGCAGGTTGGCAGTGGTAGCCAGGCATTATCTAGTTTTTCTGGTTTCAGGGTTGTGGAGGCTGAGCTTCTTCACATGGTCCTCTAGTCCCTTGCATTAGTTGTTTCCATGCATCTTTGATTTTCTTCTTTGTTCTGGATGAAGAGAGACAAATGATTGCACCTTAGATGGCCACTCTCAAGCTTTTACAACCCCAATTGCTACTCAACAAAGTATGATGTAAACAATGTTTTTGTGTACAGCGTTGTGGCCATTGAACTTGAATGTCCCCTGTGACTATGGTCTCAAGCCCTCAGGCCCAGCCAACCTCTTCATCAGGGTGTTTTGTTATGGCTAGGAAGCTATCATAACATTGCCCCCTGTTTACTGTACATACATGGACATTTTTATAATACATTCATATACATATGTAGAAATATCATTTGCCAGACCTGTATATGTTTGTTCATGGTTACAATCAGCTACCTATGTATTCACTTATAGATTAATGTTTATTATTACTGTTAATGCATAATGGTGTTTACCTTTGCTCTCTGTAACTCTTAACGCACCTCTCCATGTCTTCCTTTTCTTTAGTAATATTTTGTTGGTTACCCACTGTTTGTATGTTGCCTTTCCCTTCACCAAAATTAATACGTGTCTCCTCCTACTTAGTATTTTCCATCTCATCCCCTCTCATTCCTGGTAACCATCAAAGAATGTTTATTTTCATGTGTAAACCTGTCCTAAAAATATGGAAGCCTTCATGAATTTGTGTGCCATCCTTGCACAAGGCCATTTTAATCTTCTCTGTTTCATGTCATATGAAGACTCATTAACAACCTGTGATACACAGATTTTAGTGTATGTGCTGCTGAAGCAAGCACTGGTGTGTGTGTGTGTGTGTGTATATGTTGTTTACTAAGCCTTTTATAAACACAATTAGGATTGTCTACATCCATAGTTTTGGGTTCTGTCATTTGCATTTAGTAGACTCCTGAGAATTTTATCAGATAACAAAAATTTTTTTTTTAACATTTTTTTTTCCTGCTAATAGGGGAGCTGTGGTAGCGTAGTGCCTAAGGCATTTGACTGCTAACCAGAAGGCTGGCGGTTCAAACCCACCAGCCACTCTTTGGAAGGAAGATGGGGCAATCTACTTCCATAGTGATATTGCCTCGGAAACCCAAGGAGGGGTCGCTATAAGTCAGGGCCGACTCGACAGCACATAACAACAACAACAACAACAACAATCTGAATAAGAATATACTAGAATTTAGTAATTTCCCACATTTGGTGAAGAGTTCATTTCTTTCCAGTTTTTCATTATTATATAAAAAAATGGTGAGATAAACATTATTATACATAATACCTTTTTTATTTCAAATTTTAAGATCAGTAACACTAAAAAAATTAAGCTGGCTTGAAATATTAGTTGCTAAGCATGGTAATTTAGAGAAGGAAAAAGCCAAATTGGATATAAAATCAAGACTCAACTATATACTGCTTACGTGAAGCCAGCTTTTAATATATAGATATAAATAGATTAAAGGTAAACAAATGGAAAAGGATATGCCATGCAAATACTTTAAAAATAAATAAATAAATGGAGTGGCTGTATTATTAATAACAAGTACTTTAGAACAAGGATATTCAAGAAAAAGAGGGACATTTCATAACAATAAAGTAGGCATTTCATCAAGATGATTATAGATGTGTATACATTTAATAAAAGAGCTTCAAAATTCATGAAACAAAAACTGATAGAACAGAGTGAAATACAGACAACTTCTCAATGTTCTATCAGTAATTGAGGAATCAGTGGACCAAAAATCAGCAAGGATACAGAATACTCAAGCAACATTCTCTACCAAGTTGACTTACTCACATGCACAGAACATTTCAGGCAACTTCATAATACACATTTATTTTAAGTATCACTGGACACTCACCAGATTCTCCATATTCTGAGCCCAAAATAATTGCCATTAAATTTAGGCTGATCAAAATCATACAGAGTACATTCTGTGGCCTCAACAGAATTAATCAGAAATGAGTTATAGAAGAATATCTGGAAAATCCACCACCCGTCTGTCAGTTTGTTGTACTCTAATAGCTTGTGTGTTCCTGTGATGCTGGAAGCTATGCTACTGCTATCTCAGACACCCTTAGGATCATCCATGCTGGACGAGTTTCAGTGGCACTTCCAGACTAATATAAACTAGACAGAAAGTTCTGGACAGATGAGAAAATTAAAGAAACAATTTACATATTTTATGTAAAATTACCATGCATACAGAAATTCTGTTTTGAAGCATTTACCCTAGAAGTCTTTTAAAACATTTTATAAAATGGCCTGTTCATGAATGTTTATAGCAGTTATATTCATAATGACCAAAAATTGTATGTAGCCAAGACATCCATCAACTGATGAGTGGACAAATTGTGATCCATCCACACAGTGAAATATACTACACAGCAATAAAGTGGAATGGACTACTGATGCCTGAACCAACATGAATGAATTTGGAAAACATGATATAAAGGAAGACAAGGATGACATTATACAAATAAAGATAACGCAAAAGATTGCATGCTGTATGATTCCATTTTTATGAAATTTTGGAGGAAGTAAAACTATAGGGAGAAATCAGATCAGTGGTTGCCAGGAACTGGGAGTGAAGAGAGGCATTGATATCAAAGAAAAGTACAAGGGAACCTTTTGTGAAGATGGAAATACTTTATAAATCTTTAAAATGCTAAACAGTGACTGATAGCTCAACCTCACTTCCTACCACCAATATTTTTAATGAAGAGTAGATAGTATGTGAAACTTTTTAAAGGCTTCCGGTGGCCTTGAGGACTTGTTAAAATAGTTTTCCTCTCAGACAAATTGTTGTTGTTGTTGTTATGTGCCGTCGAGTCAAACCTGACTCATAGCGACCCCTCCTTGGGTTTCCGAGGCAGTATCACTACGGAAGTAGGATTGCCCAACCTACTGTGTACTGTTACACAGCCATATGTGTTTGGCAAAACTCATTGCAGTGTTTTTAGAAAGGGTTAATTTTACAAAGGGTTAATTTTAACTTTAAACCAAAAACGAAACCAAACTCACTGCCCTCAAGTCAAGTAGGATCCAACTCATAGCCACCCCTCCTGAGGTTTCCCAAGCAGTATCACTAAGGAAGTAGATTGCCCAGCCTTCCTTCTGAATTTTTTTTTTTTTAACTTTAGAAAGGTTTAATTTTACTCTGTGTAAATTATACTTTAATAGACCTGATTTTTAACAACAGAAAAAGATGAAATGTAAATGAGGATGTGCAGCATTAAGAGCTCTAGTACCATGCTGTTAGGAGTGTAGATAGTAGTACAGTTGCTTTAGAAAATAATTTCCAGTTTCTTAAAAAGTTGAACAAAACTTATGTATGTTCTAGCATTCCCAGTCTTAGGTGTTAATCACATATAGTCAAAATATATATACACATTGGCATACACTTATAAGCAAATATTAATATAAATTTTATTCATAGTTGTCCCAAAATGGCAATATAATGTTCATCAGCTGGTGAGTAGATAAACAGATTGTAATACATCCTTTCAATGAAATACTACTCAAATAAAAAAGGACTCACCTACTGATAAATGCAACAACATTGATCAATCTCGAAAACATTATGCTAAGTGAAAGAACTTAGGCACCACGAGCTACATTTTTGTATGATTCTATTCATATGAAGTTATTGAGAAAGAAGAGGTATATAATGATAGAAAAGAGATCATTGATTGTCAGGGGCCAGGAGTTGGGACAAAGGAATTAACTGCAAATGGATTCAAGGAACTTTTTGGAGTGTATCTTGATTGTAGTGGTAGTAGTAGTAATTGTTAGGTGCCATTGAGTTATCTCTGACTCAAAGCAACCCTATGTACAACAGAAGAAAACACTGAGCATTCCTCTGCCTGCCAGCCTCACAATCCTTCCCATTCCTGAGCCCATTGTTGCAGCCACTGTGTCAATCCATATCATTAAAGGCCTTCCCCCTTTTTTGCTGACCCTCCACTTTACCAAGCTTGATATCCTTCTCCAGAGAATGGTCCATTCTGACAGCGTGTGCAAAGTAGGTGAGTGAAGTCTGGCCATTCTCGCTTCCAAGGAGCACTCTGGTTGCGCTTCTTCCAGGACACGTTCCAGGAGTGGTAGTTACAGGAATATTTTTATTCAAACCTCATCAAGCTGTATACTTCAGTTTGACAAATTCTATACTTTTTAAATTGCATATCCATAAAGATCATTGAAAAGATAAGCTTTTCAAATATCTATTACAAATGTTTACTATAGGCTCATTTTCATATGTAGTACTAGTTAACATATATGAAAAATCAGATCAAAATTTTTTTTTTTATCATTTTGGTAAAAATGGCTAAATTATGCTTTATTGTATCATCTTTGTGGTATTTTTTTCTTTCTTGACATTAATATCAATTCTATATATTAATATAGATTCTGTAACTATAAGATAGTTGATTAAAAGTACTGTCTTTAACCTCTTGTAAATCAGAGTTCAAGTACTAATTTTGGACATACATGTGGCCTTAATAACTAATATTTATAGTGTTCAAAATCTCTCATAATACAGGGAATTAGGAGAGTGTAGGAATCTGTGTCTGCTGTGTGCTGGTCAGTTGGTTATTTTTAAATAGCACCATCATTAATTGTTTTCTTTCATAGTAGATACTGATTTACTATCTATGCAGGTGGCAGCTCTGGTGGTGTAGTGCCTAAGGTATTTCACTGCTAACTGGAAGGCTGGTGGTTCAAACCCGTCAGCCACTCCTTGGAAGGTAGATTGGGCAATCTGCTTCCGTAGTGATACCACCTGGGAAACCCAAGGAGGGGTCACTATGAGTCAGATCCAACTCCGCGGCAGTGGATTTGGTTTGTTTTTTTTGGTATCAGTACAATTTAGGTAACTAATTTAAGGGCTGGGCAGAGAATGAACATTGGGTTTTTCTGTTGATTGACTGGAACAAATTAGAAGTTACAGACTTACAGAACAAATTAGAAGTGTAAACCTATAGTTTACTGTTAACATACCTGGTTTTGTATTGATTTGAGGTGCTTTTGATTACAGTTTATTTCACCTTTTTAAGGTAATATCTTATTGAATAAATGAAATTGAAATAGAATCAACCAAGAGTAGTAATGATGCTGATAAGGGCTGCACTCAGCCTGAGGTTGGAGAGAACTTTTCAGGATGAATCACTCACATCTCCCATGGCAGTAGGCCTTAGTTCCTTACAAATGTGGCCTCATCAGTTGCTTGAATATCAAGATGATGTGGGAGCTGGCTTCCCCCAGAGGAAGTGATCCATGAGAGCAAGACAGAAGCTCCAGTGTCTGTGTAACCTACTCTTGGATGCCATCATTCTGCAGCACTCTGTTCATTTTAAGTAATTCACTAGACACAGTCCAGACATAAGGGGAAGGGAATTAAGCTTCACCTTAATTAATTAAGAATAGCAAAGAATTTTTGGACGTATTTTAAACCATTCTAGGTTACAGCTTTTCTATAAGCAGGGCAAATAAAGTGATCATTCTATGATTTTGATTAGATAATTTTAGAACCTAATGAGGATTTTCAGGGTTCCAAGAAAAACAGTTCAGAATAGCACAGTAGATATCATGATCTTATTTAAAAAAGTCATTTTATTTTTTCTTACTTATAATGTGTTATCACATGTAGGAACTCTTTGTAAAGTTGTTTTTACGTGGTCATTGAAAGCTAAAAGTCTTAATTCATTAAATCAGTTATTTAAATAGATTTTTTTTTTTTTAACATTTTCAATGTATTGGGCATTTATAAAACAGATGCCTCTCTGCCCACACATGCTTAAACAGCTTTGTAAGCAAGTTAAATAGCTTGTAAAGTTTTAAGAAGGATATAAATAAGGTACTGTGATAGTGATTAATGGGGTGGAGATGGGGTTCCATGGGAAAGGTGGTTAGGAACGTCTTCCTGTGTGACTTTTAAGTTTTGATTTGAATAAACAGAATCAGCTAACTTTTGAAGAAATAACCACTGGAATGTGTATTAGAATCAAGGTGAGACTTCTTTGTTGCTTTGGACAGGTCATCAGGAAAAACCAGTCAATAGAGAAGGATGTCATGTTTGGTAAAATAAAGGGTCAGGGAAAACCGTCAATGAGTTAGATTGATATAATAGCCCCAACCATGGGCTCAAACATACCAAACATCATGGAGGTCGTGCAAGACTGTGCAGTGTTTCATTCTGTTACATGAGGTTGTCACTTATCATGCTATGAGTCAGAATTGACTCAATGGCAACTAAACAATAGCAACAACTTTTGAAAAAGGTAACAGCATGTATAAAGACCCTGAAGCAAGGCAGAGCTTCTGGTGTTCTAAGGAATGTTGAAAGGATGATCTTAGGATGCGAGTATCATGAAATAAGGCAAGAGAGAAAGGCTAGATAGAGATCAATGCAAAGTTGTGTTTAGAATTTTCATCTTTAACCTGAGAGCATTAGACAATCTTGGAAATGTTTTCAGCAGAGCAGAAATGTGATCAAATGTACATAAATGTTCATAGTCACATTATTCATAATAGCCCCTAACTGGAAATAATTTTATACCCTTCAACTGATGAATGGACAAGTAAAACATGGTATGTTCATACAGTAGAATAGTATTCAAGAATAAAAAGAACCGAACCACTGATACATGCTTCCACACTGATGTGGCCTCATAAACATTATTCTTAGTGTAAGAATACTGAGGATTACATAATGTATATTTCCATTTATCTGAAATGTCCATAAAGGATAGTTTCTCGAGCAAGAAAGCAGATTGGTAGGTAGGTGTCTAAAGCTGGGCTGGGAATAGGGATTAACTATAAATGAGCACAAGGCAAGTTTTAGGGGTGGTGGAAATATACTAAAACTAGATTGTGATTAATGAAGAACTCTATAAATTACTTCAAATATCATTTAATTGTATTCTTAAATGGGTAAATTTTATAGTATATAAATTATACCTCCATAAAACTTTTTTAAAAAATAGTTTATTGTGTTTGGTGATAGGACAGACTGTGTCAACATACTTCTCTGGCTTTAGGCTATGGATGTGGTAATTCTGCCACCCATTTCCCACTGCTTATTACTGGTCAGTTGTAGCTTTTGTTGTTTACATTTCATTAGAAGAGCACAGAAAATTAGGTCTTTTATTAAGGTGTGTACAAAAATCTGAATAACTTCTCCTACATTTATCTCATTCTGTGAATAGAGACCTAAGTAGTTGAGCAGCCTCTTCTTTGTTACAAAGCATATGTAGTTTATAATGTGTAAGTACATTACCTTTAAATAATGGCTTAAAATTGATAAAGGTATATGGATACACTTTTTACATGTATTTTTTGATTACTGCAATTCCTTTATTTTATATCAGTTAAGCAGTGAGTTACTAATTAGAAAATAAGAATGTCCATGAAACCTAGATATTTTAATGGTATTTTAAGGATTGCTTATCTGAATAACCTGTATAAGTAGAGCATGTATAATAGACATGGGGGTGGTCCAAATCCTTTGTTTAACCACTAATTGTATTGAAACATTTCTAGTGTTATTAGTATAGCATGGATAGAAGTTTTCAGAGCCATATAGATTTCATTATAAATGAATGAGCACAGATATTCATGATGTACTATAGTGATAGAATTAAACGTAGGCTTAAAATTGATTCTACATTGAATTCTTTTCTCTTGCAGGCGTATCTCATTAGCTAGTCCACGTCAACTTTTTAAAGCTTCTAATATGACCCAGCGATGGCAACACAGGGAGATTTCAAATTTTGAGTACTTGATGTTTCTCAACACAATAGCAGGTAATCTAAACTCACAAGTTCACTTTTTCAAACAATAAATTATTAATTGTGGTATAGTTAAATTATTTGAAGTACTAATGTAAGTAATGGGAGCTCTGGTAGCTTAGTGGCTAAGGCCCTTGACTGCTAACCAGAAGGCTGGTGGCTCAAACCCACCAGCCACTCCTCGGAAGGAAGATGGGGCAATCTACTTCTGTAGTGATTTTACCTTGGAAACGCAAGGAGGGGTCGCTATGAGTCAGGTCCGACTCAACAGCAAAACAACAACAGTCCCTTGTCCAGTGTCATTGACAAAATTTTTTTCCCAGTCTGGATGTTCTCTTTTTAGACTTTTGGAGAAGTCTTTTGACGCGTGTAAGTGTTTTTAGGAGGTCCCAGTTATCTAGTTTATCTTTTTGCTATTTGTGCATATTTAGTTACGTTTGATAGACTATGCCATAAATGAAAACACAAACCAAACTCACTGCTGTCGAGTCGGATCTGACTCATAGCAACCCCTCTTTGGGTTTCTAAGGCAGTATCACTACGGAAGTAGATTGCCCAGTCTTCCTTCCGAATACCATAAATTGGAGACCCTAAATTTGCCCGTTTTGCCTTTGATGATCTTTATAGTTTTAGATTTACATTTATGTCTTTGATTTTTCTAGAGTTAATTTTTGTATATGGTGTAACATATGGATCCTATTTCATTTTCTGTGAATGGATACCCAGTTTTGCCAGCACCATTTGTTAAAGAGACTATCTCTTCCCCATTTAATGGATTTCAGCCCTTTTCTTAAAGATAAATTGTCCATAGGTGAATGAATTTATTTCTGGGTTCTCAATTCTGTTGCTTTGGTCTATGTGTGTGTCGTTGTACCAGTACCAGATAATTTTGACTACCGTGGGTATATAGTAGGTTGTGAGACCTCCTACTTTGTTTTTCTTCTTTACTGTATAATTGTATTATATCTGTATATCATTTTGGGTAGTACTGACATTTTCAAAATGGTGAGTCTTCTTATTCAAGAGTATGGTATGTTCTTTCCTTTATATAGGTCTCTTGGTTTCATGTAGTAGTGTTTTATATTTTTCTTTGTATAAGCCTTTTGTATCTCTGGTTAGATTTATGCCTAAGTATTTCATCTTTTGGGTGGTGTTCTGGTTACCTAGTACCGCTCTGACAAGAATATACCACAAATGGGATAGCTATAACAAACAGGAGTTTATTCTCACTATCTGGAGGCTTTAAGTCCAAGTTCAAAGTGCCAGGCTCTAGAGGCTGGGTGAAAGCCCCTCAGCCTTGGGCTTCAGCTCTGCCTCCAGCTCCCGGCCCACTGAAGCTAGAGGCTTTTCTTCACTCAGAGAGCTGCTAGCTGCTGAGGCTGCCAAGCCCAAGGTTGACAAGTAAAAAGGCACAGTCCTGATGTTACCAAACCACAGGGAAGGCCATTAATTTAAGTCCATCGTAAGTCCCCAGGTCGGCAGAGCATGGCAAGTTGCTGAGCAATGACATGGCTACATGCAGGGTCCAAGTGTGCCATATGCTCGAGACCATTCCCAAGGCTTCTCTTTAAATACAGGAAGCAGATCACATCCCAAACGCAGCTACTCAGCTGCTTGTGGTAGTTCCCACCATGGAGTTGATTGCCAGTCTCATCATGGGGAATAACTACCAGCTGCCCAGACACTCATAGGTGGCTGTTGTAAATGATATTATTCTCCTGATTTCCTTTTCTGAATTCTTCTTGTTAATATACAGGGATCTGGCTGATTTTTTCACATGTTGATATTGTAAGCTGCTACTTTTCTACTAGTCCCAGTAGCTTTCTTGTTGAGTCTCTGGGACTCTCTATATAGGATCATATCATCAACAAATAGAAATAGTTATACTTACTTGACAGTTTGAATGCCTTTTTTTTTTTTTCCTTTTCTTCACTTATTGTTCTGGCTAGGACTTCCAATACAGTATTGAATGGAAGTGATAATAAAGGACATCCTTGTCTGGTTCCTGTTTGCTTTCATTCTCTCTCCATAGAGAATAATGTTGACTGTTGCTTTTGTTTACATGCCCTTAATTTTGTTGAAGAATTTCCCTTCTGTTCTCATTTTGCTGAGAGTTCTTATCAGGAATGGTTCTTAAGTGGTGGATTACATTGCTTCTTTTTCTAATAGTGAACCCTCCTTGCATAACTGGCTGGTATGAATCCGACTTGTTATATGTATTATTGTTTCAATACATTTTAATTTTTGGATTCTGTTGGCAAGGATCTTATTGAGAATATTTGGATCTTTATTCATTAGGGATATTTGTCTATAATTTTCTTTTTCAGTAGTGTTTTTGCCTGGCTTTGATATGAGGGTTATGCTTGCTTCATAGACTTTCCAATTATTCCCTCCTTTTTTTATATTCTGGAATAGTTTGAGTAGAATTGGTATCATCTCTTCTGTGAGTATTTGGTAGACTTCTCCAGTGAAGCTTTCTGAGACAGTCCTTTTTTTTTTCTTTTTTTAAAATGACCTATTCAATTACTTATTTTATTATGGATCTGTTAAAATTTCCTATATTAATCTGTGTTACTTTAGGTTGTTGGTAGTGTGTTCCTAGAAATTTGTCCATTGCATCTAGTTTTCATATTTGTTGGAGTATCATTCTTCATAGTACTGAATATTCTTTCCAAAAAATAGTATCAATAGTTTGGGATGATTTTTTTATACGTTGACTATATCATCCAAAAACTATTGAAACTATTTTTGAAAAAGAATATTCAGTACATCATATATATACATATTTATATATATACTATAACATATTCACCACTTGCCTGTCAGTTTCTTGTGCTGTGGCTGCTTGTTTGTTTCTGTGAGTCTGGAAGCTATGCCACCAGTATTTCAAACACCAGCAGGGTCACTCATGGTGGACACATTTCAGTGGAGCTTCCAGATTAAGACAGATTTGGAAGAAGAAAGGGCCCATTCACTTCTCAAAGAGTTGGCCAGTGAAAACTTTATGAATAACAGTGAAATACTGTCTGATATATTACTGGAAAACTTTATGAACAGCCCTGAACCATTGTCCAATACAGGCTGGAAGATGAGCACCTTAGCTCGGAAGGCACTCACAATATGGCTGGTAAGAGCTGCCTCCCCAAAGTTTTTGGGACTTCCGTTTGCTCAAAATGGGAAGAAACAGCTTCAAACATCCATTAATAGTTGGAACATGGAATATACAAAATATGAACGTTAGAAAATTGGGAGTTTTTAAACACATAAATATCAATAACCTAGGCATTGTATGAGTTGAGATGTACTGGTTTTAGCCATTTTGAATCAGACAATCACATGATCTACTATGCTGGTAATGACAAATTGAGGAATGGCATGGCATTCATCATTACAAAGAATGTTCTATGCTGAACTGAGGTACTATGCTGTCAGTGATAGGAAGATATCCATATGACTACAAGGAAAACCAATTAATACTACTGTTATACAAATTTATACACCAACCACCAAAGCCAAAGATGAGGAAATTGAAGATTTTTACCAACTTCTGCAGTCTGAAATTGACCAACATGTGATCAAGATTTATTGATTGAAAGATGTAGTGATTGGAATGAGAAAGTTGGAAACAGAAGAATCACCATGGCAAATATTGATATACAGGTGGATAGATAGGTGGACAGGCTGAACAATTAGGTATGTCTATGCAGGTATGCAGTGTGCCCATGACCGTGCATAGGGTTGGCAGACAATGTTTCTACAAGTGTATTTATATGTTCTGTAAGAATTCCTAGGTATTTAGTAGAGCTGACAAGGGACAAGGTTGTAGTCACTTCTTGGCCACAGACAGTTACCCAGAGGGAGTGAGTAGTTGGACCTGTGAGCTTGGGACCATGCTTGCAGGGGACATGAAGCTCAATTGGCATAACAAACTACACAAAAACATTGTTCCACATCCTACTTGGGCAAGTAGCAACTGAGATCTTAAAAGCTTGCGAGCAGCTATCTAGATGCAATGATGGGTCTTTCCTTATCCAGAGCAAAGAAGAATGAAGAAAACCAATAATGCATGGAAACAATTAGTCCAAGGGACTGGTACACCATGGGATCCTCAGTTAATACAACTATGAGACCAGAAGAACTAGATGGTGCCCAGCTACCACTGTCATCCACTTTGACAGAGATGTATGTTGGATATCCTGGATAGAGAGGAAGAAAAATGTGGAACAAAAATCATTTAAAAACAAACAAACAAACAAACAAAAACACAGGTTTGCTGGGCTAATAGAGCCTGATTGAATTCCTTAGACTATGACCCCTCGCTGTGCTTCAGGTCTGGAATTGAACCCACTCCTGTGGCTTCCAGCCAAACAAAAGACAGGCATATGAGCTGTACATCTATATTAGGTAACTCCCTGGAGAGATTTATCATGGGATAATAGAAGGGCTGTGTATGCACAGGGAGACAGCTCGGGGGGCAGGAGTGCATGGGAGGGAAAGACACAGGGAAGAGGTAACTATGTTGAAGAGGTGGGAAGAGATCTGTTGCATTGTGGTAAATTGGAGTCAATATCTTGAGACAAAGTGTGTGTGAGTTGCTGTATGGAAGATGAATTTGCTCTGTAAACTTTCACCCAAATCACAGTAAAAATTTTTAAAAAAAGAGAAAATAGTTTTACTCTGGAAAAAAAAAAATAGGAATCACTGGTAGTTGGAAAATGTGACCTTGGTGTGATAGAAATGATGCTGAAGATCACATGATAGAATTTTGCAAGACCAGTGACTTATTCATTGCAAGTACCCTTTTTAAAGAGTGTAAATGATGGCTATACACATGGACCTCACCAGATGAAGTACACAGGAGTCAGGTCAACTACATCTGTGGAAAAAGGTGATGGAAAAGCTCAACATTTTCAGCCAAAACAAGGCTAGGAGTTGACTGTGGCACAGACCATCAACTGCTCATATGTAAGTTCACATTGAAACTGAAGACAAAACAATTCCATGAGAGCCTTGAT